GGGTGTCCCAAAAATGTCTCGCAATCCGAAAGTGGCGGGTTCCACAGGCCATTCGAAGCAACTTTTTCCTTTACAAAAATGTTCTCCGAGGCACCGTTAACGAGTTATCAACGAAAAACAGCGACCAATGAGAGGCGAGCTCGGCTGGCGCGAGGCGATCGAGCCAATGAGCGGAACTGGGCTTCGCGCGCTGGTTGGCTGGGCCGCCTCGCGTCAGCCGTACTCGATTCTTATTGGTCACTGTTTTTCGTTGATAACTCGTTAACGGTGCCTCCGAGAATATTTTTGTAAAGGAAGAAGTTGCTTCAAATGATCCGAAGAACCCGCTATTTCCGGATTGCGAGACATTTTTGGGACATCCTGTAGACCGTTGTAAATCGATGCGAAGACAAAAGAAGTGTGAAACGATGCATACGAAGACGATTATTTGGCTCAAACGATGAGCGAGCGAGCTACTAGAGCAAGCCACTATAGTGGCGCGTCGTCCAGAGAGATGACATCCGCGAAAGCCACTATAGTGGCGCGTCGTGCCTAAAAGGTTAATTTGATCGTTCGCATTTTTGGCCGGTCTTGTCTCTCGGCTCGTTTCGGTCCAGCTCGCGCAGTCACCGCAGGCGCGCAGACCTGCAACGCGTGTAACCGCGCGCAAGGCTGCTGGACTGTAGCGATCCTATCGAGAGCCCAGGCACCGGGGCTTGATCGATCATCGGTCCCCGTCAACAATTTACACGGTCGACCGGTCCCGTTACGGCTCGATGCTCGTCAATCGTTCCTCGCGATGGTTCGCCGAGCTGGACTAACGCGCTCGCTCGTCGACTCGCGATGCGCCCTCGACACCGCCTTTGCTCGCTTTGTTAAACGTGTGTTACACCCTTAACTCCAAATTATAATATATCGATTAAGGGACGATAATTAATCGAAGGGACGGGCGTGGAGCAGGATTTGCGTGCGCGATCGGTGTGCGGAGGTTCGACGGCCGGTCGTTCGAACGATCGTCGTCGAAACGAGCTCGGTGAAAAGCGTGATCGGTCGGTGGGTTTGCAAGCCGGTACGTATCCTCTTGTGGTTTGATCGGCGGGTATCTGTGCACCGTCGCGACACTCCGATGTCCACACTCACCGTCATCTCGGTGCTGGTGTGATCGATGAAAGTCAGCTCAGACTCCTCCCCGGCCAGGAGCACGCTCACCGTCTTCTCCCCGGACTCGTCGTCTGCCGGAAACGAACAAACGACAGCTCGAGTTCTCAGAGTCGAAATTATTGGGTTGGGGAATAAGTTCGTAGCGTTTTTATATTTTCTTTTATTTTACAACGATCTTTTGCCGTTCGACAAAGCGTATAATGTTCGTTCGATAGAGCTCTTTCTGCTCTACGAAACTGTGCTAATCGTCCTTTTGAGTAATTTAATTTTTTATTACTTCTGACGCTTAGATTAATATAATATTATATTAATTACTATAATATTATATAATATTATATTAATTACTATAATATTATATTATATTATATTAATTATAATATTAATATTATATATATTTAGTTATACACTTTGTATACACGAACAGCAAAAAATTGTTGTAAAATAAAAAAATATATAAAAACGCTACGAACTTATTCCCTAACCTAATATTATTATTATTATTATTATTATTATTATTATTATTATTACTCTCTGCGGCACGGTCGCCGCGATACCACTCACCGATCGAGGTGTCGTAAGCGTGCAGGTATTCGGAGGTCATGAACTGCGAGACCAGCGAGCTCTTGCCGACGGCCGGAGCGCCCAGCATCAGAACATGGTACGGCGTTGGTCCCTGAGACGCGCTGCTCTCCCTCGAGCTGGCCAGCGATCCCGCCGCCGAGTTCCTCGCCGAGCCGGGGTACGAAGCGGTCAGATGTTCCGTGCTGCACCGCCGTTGGTGGCCACGCCGAAAGAGAGCGACAAAAGGACGGAAGAAAAAAAGAAAGAAACAAGCATGTAATAAAAGATGCCGGGGTTCCGGCAGCTAGTTTCGCAAGAAAGCTCGCAGAAGCTTCTGGCGCTTCTCTCTTATTCGCGGAGCTTGGTTCGACGTCCTTGCTCGTCGGCGATATCGAGAGAGAATTCGTTTCGGTTCTCGACGGACGATCGACAAGGTCGATCGACAAGATCGATCGAGAACGATCGCGACGAGCACGGGCCGGCGTCGCGGCGACGTGTTCGCGATTCTCTCTCTGTCTCTCGGGCAGCGTCGCCGGGTCCACCGATGATATCGTCGTGTTGCCGTGGTTACGTCGACGTTTCGATCCCGCTCTAAAGCCCAACACGTGCGTCTACGTCGTCTACATATAGAGACTGTCGAAGCGTACGTAAACTCACGCGTTCGATATAAAGTAGGACCACGTGGTGTCTTCCTCCGCAGGTTCCCGTTTTCCTTCCAGCTCGCATCCCGAATTTCGTCGCCTCCGATTCGCGGGTCTAAACACGCTCTCTCTCTCTCTCTCTCTCGCGCTCTCTCTCTCGCTGCACGTTCTCGACAACATCGAAGGAGCACACGTGGGTGGGGACCGAGGAAAGTCTCACCTCGAGTTGCTCGAAGCGACGCTATTGTTGGACCGGGATCTCCGACTCTTGAGGGAGTCGCCTCTGTTTACCACCCCTTTGGCGGTGATACTGAAATGTCTCTGCCTGTAGTACTCCTCCTCGACGCCCGTGTTCGGCATACTGGCGACCCTCGATCTCTGTTGCGGAAGACACAAGTAATTTGGCCGGCCGGACGAACGGCTGCCGGGCGTTTTCACCGACTGCGACCTGCTGTGGTGCGGGCTACCGTATCTGCGGCAAAAGGGGTGCGTCGTGTTTCATTTAGTTATCTGCGGGCCGAACGATTCGATCGCGACGGCTACGTGCAAGTGGGCCGGATCGAAGATTTTAGCGATTTTTTTTGACAAAAACCTAATTTTCTCGTATCGATTTCCAGTCGATTTTTATTGCTCGTTGAACGTCCATTACCCTCGAAAGTGGAAACATTAATAAAAATTATCGTAAATTGTAATAGACAGGATAATTTAAAGTTGAACATTTCGAACGCTATATTTGATGCCAAAGAATATGCTTCTTTTCCTCGCGATGTCCCGACGAACCTAATTGATTTTTCTTCCTTTGCTCTCTTTTTTAACATTAGGAGGCAATATTTCTCGTTAGGAGAAAAAGCGTAAATTAAGATTATCGTATCCTATATATGAAAAATATAATGTTCAATAAAATAGAAAAAGTGCAAAAATTCTTTACTTTCGGCAAGGAATATCTTTCGCTCTCGAATCGCTCTCGCGATTGCCCGCGGGGGGCCGAACTTGGCCACTTCCCGTGGCCAACGTTCACGAAATCGCTGGCCGAACGAACCTCATCTCGAAGTCGTGTATCTCCTGCAACGTCAACGTGTTCGCGACGTCCAGCAGCTGTCTCATGTTCTCTTCGCGGCGTCTGACGTCCACCTCCGGGTGCAAGAGGATGGTCGCTGCCCCGGTGGACCCGTCCAGCGACAGCGACGGCTGCTGCACCACGATCGTAGCCGCCTGCGTGGTTCTCTTGCTGCCGGCCGTGTTGCCCCCTTTTCGGCATTTAGAAAAGCAAAGATCCGTTACCTCGGTCCGTCCCGAACGGTTCCCGATCGTACGCTGCGAGTTACCAAAAGACCTCCGAGCACCGGACATCGCGAGCGATTCTCTCGCGTCTTTAATCGATCTTTTTTTTATCCGTCCGCCGCGTCGACGAACACCGACAACCGGACTCTATCGCGTCCGCCAAGCCCCGTTTCCGGTGCTTCGCGCTACCCTTTGCGCGCCTTTCGGCCGCCCTTTGCGCACCCTTTGCGCTCACCCTGCCCTTTGCTACCACCTCCTCTCGATCCCTGTCTCTCGAACCTCTCGATCGATCAATTGATCGCGAAAGTTCGACGACGGTTCACCTTCGGCCCAGTCCTCCCCTCGACCACCACCCTCTTCTTCGTCACCTCCTTCCTCTCGATCGCGATCTTCCTCTCGTCCGCCTCTCGTTCGTCGTCCTTCTCGTCCTGGTTCGCCTCTCTGTCGCCAACGTTTCGCAGTCTACGCGTAGCTCGATCGATCTCGCAGTCTACTCTACGGCCGGATCGACGCTCTCGGGGAGACTGCAGAGAGCGAGATCGCGGGATCGCAGACAAGCAGACTTTCTTTTTCTTTTTTCTGGGTGCTCGACCGATGAGAAACGTACGATGCCGGGAGAGTCTTTCTCGCAAGGTGCCAAAGAAGCTTGTCGGAAAAAACATACGCGTGTGCGTTCTTTTTTTTTTTTTTTTTTTAATTAGTTCTTTTCCAAACAGAATTGCCGCTCGAGAAGATTGTGGTTCAGCTCACAAAGAGAGAATGGAAGACGAATTCGGTATAATTTCGAGCGGAAAAATATTGGGCCGTGGTGTGTTTCGTTTTCTTTTTATTTTTTTCGTTTTCGTTTTCTCGTTGCTCGCGTTGCGTGCTCGTCTCTCTCTATGGTCCCCGGTGAACACAACGAGACGAGAAAGAACGATGGAGAACATCTTGGACGAACGAGCACGAGGGGACAGAGGACACACGGGAGGGCGAAGAGGAGGAGACGAGATTGCGAGACTGGGAAAAATCGGTCCGCAACGCGCGCGATCAACGATCCTGTGCTCCGAACGGAGCGCGGCGGCAATTCGGTGGAATCTGCTACGGCAAACGAAGCGCTATCAAACTACTACTGTTAACATCGACTAACGGCGACAATCGGTAGAAAACATGCGCTGCTCGGGACTGAAACGCATCGACTCGAAAAAACAGCTTCCGACAGAATAGAACTACGCTTTGCTATATAAATTGGAGATATATATATAATATATATACAGGGTGTCCCGAGAATGTCTCGCAATCTGGGAGAGGATGATGCCTGAGGTGATTCGAAGCAACTTTTTCTTTTGCGAAAATGCGATCCGCGGCTCCGTTTACGAGTTATTAGCGAAAAACGGTGGCCAACGAGAAGCGAGCTCGGCCGGTGCGCGGCGGCCCGGCCAACGAGCGCACGGAGCTCGGTTCCGCCCATTGGCTCGGCCGTCTCGCGCCAACTGATCTCATTGGTCACCGTTTTTCGTTGATAACTCGTAAACGAAGCGTCGGAGAAAATTTTCGCAAAGGAAAAGGTTGCTTCAAATAACCCCAGGAACCTCCCATTTCCGGATCGCGAGACATTTTCGGGACACCCTGTATATATATTCGAGCGAGTGTGGCCTGTGGCAAGTGACGGCTCTCCTCTCCTCTCTCGATCCATCGAGCACGCTCCCCGCAAGTTTGCGCGCGATCGTTCGTCGGAGCGATCGATCGCGCAAGGACTCGACGAAGACGCGTCGTCGTTATCTTCCGATCAACGAGCAACAACAACGATTTGATTGCGGCGCGATCGAGGAGAGAGAGAACCGTGCGGTCAACCGGAAGAGTTAAGCACAGAACGTAAACAGGAAGGAAGACGCGAGAAATCCGAAGGGACGGAGAGAGAGGTGCGAGATGAGCTCAAAAAAGAAAACGATAATCGTTGGTGGTAATCGACACACGACGCACGACACACGACGCGCGACACGCGGGTGTTCTCGAGTGGATGCAAACACAGGTGTGTAAAAAAAGCCATGGAGCAAGAAACGAACGTTACGAATCGTCGAGTGTGTGTGTCCCGTCCGCGTCTCGTCTACACACAAGATCCGCTACGCCGAGAGAGAGAGATCGCCGAACGGTTGTTCGCGAAATCGGATCGTGAAAAAGCGATGGATCGAATTCGCCGATTCGCTGGGAATCGAGAGCGATCGCGTCGAGATCCGGATTCGGCGATCTCTCTCGATCGCGTTAGGAATCTCGAAGCACAACTCGAGCACAACCAACAGTATACCTATTGCGCAAAACGGGAAAAAGAGCCTGACCCATGAATGAATGGTCGAAACGAGGGGATGAGATTCTGAAAGAAAACAACAACAATTGATTTTCTTAACGAGAGAACAAACGTTGTGCACGGGCTTTCGAATCGTTTTTCTCTATACAGCCCGCTATACATACAGCCCCCGGCTACACCGAAGAAGAGTCGGCTCTTTCTTATCTACCTCGCGGTCATCGGTAAATCGGTCCTACGGTGTCGCAACTATGAACGCGTCCTCGCCAAAAGCACCCCGGATTACACACGATAGTTACCGTGCGCGGATCTCGATCGGCCCCACTCACCGGCGCCTCTTCCACGGATCTTGCCGGCCGGTGGTCCGGTCCTACCAGGAGGACCATCGGACGACGGTCTCTCGTTGCTGGCGCAAGCGCCGACCAGCGATATGTCCAGCGGGTTCGTGGTCACGTTCACGCTCGGCTTCCTCTGGCCGTGCTTGCCCTCGCTGAACGAGTTGTGGTTCCGCCGTGAGTAGGATCGGTCGGAGGACGGGCCGGTGTCCTCGCGCGCCTTCCCGACGATCAGGGTCAGCATCGGGTTGAAGTCGGGGTCCGGCTGGCCCGCGTCCACCGAGCCTCTCACCGGGGTGCTGCAAGAGAACGTGTCGTCGGATGGGAAAGTCGAACGGCGGGGGGTGGGCAGGAGGGCCGAATTATATATAATATAATATAATATATAAATATAATATTTAATATATATATAATAATAACATATAATAAAATATATAAATATAATATTTAATATATATAATAATAACATATAATCAAATATATAAATATAATATATAATATATATAATAATAATATATAATATATAATATATTAGGTTGACAAGAATGAAATTTGTAGTTAATAATATTGCCAACTTCAACAATTTATTATTAGACATTGGCTTAATATTTTACCGTTCTGTTTTTTTCATTGGAAAGTTACAAATCTCGCTTGTTTAAAGAAATTATTTTAAGCTCCAAAAAATATCGAAAACTTTTTTAAAAATTAATTTTGATGAAAATGAAACGGTCGAAAATTCGCACTATTATGAAGTACGAGTTCTCACGTGGAACTACGAAATAGACGCGTGAAACATTAATAGTGTGTTTGGCTCTAGTGTAACTAAACAGCAGACAGTGTCAAATTGGTTCGCCAAATTTCGTACAGGTTATTCTGACCTCGCAAATGAACCACGCGGTTGCTCAGAATCAAAGGTTATCATACCTGTCTAGCGCAGGTGAGATTCGTTATGATTTTATGCAACCTGGCTCACCGATCACAACAGAAATATACTGCAACCAACTGGACGAAATGATGCAAAAACTTGAAGAAAAACAACCTAGACTGGTCAACGAATCGACTCCCATCTTATTGCATGATAGCGTTAGATTACACACTGCACAAATGACCGTGGCATAACTACAGGAATTGGAGTTGGAACTTCTTCATCATCCTCCGTACCTCGGACCTAGCCCCCACTGTCTATCGCTTCTTCCACAATTTGAACAATTTCTTAATAGGAAAACAATTTAATTCCGACAATGCCGTAAAACTGGTCTGCCAGGAATTCATTGACTCTCGTCCGTCAGGGTTTTGTATCGCCGGCCTGAACACAACCTGCCGCTTAAATGACAAAAGCGCATAGACAATATGGGTGCATACTTCGATAAATAAAATAATTCCTCGTATTTGTAAGTTACGAAGCAACTTCGCCTTCTTTTCTACAAATTTCATACTTGGACGATCCGATATAACCGACCGTCTCGAAGAGGACGAACCTGAAAAAGTCGGTCGCGCGGAGGTCCGGCAACGGGGGGGTGCGACCGGAGGAAGGCAACCTGGGCGCGTTGTTGTTTTCGAGATTGTTGGCGGCCAGCATGGCCGCGGCGACCGGTGGACCGTCCACGTCCTCGAGGAGGTTCGAGGTGCTCGACACTCGGACCTCGAGGCGGGCGGTGATCTCCGATCGCGCGGCAGCGATCGATATATGGCCCGTGGCCGTGGCTATGCACGGCCGATCCACCTGGGAATACTCGTCGATCGGCAAAAACGACGGCGGCGGCGGCGGCGGAGGCGGTGGCGGCGGAGCCGGCTCGGGCGTTGGAGCCGCCGGCAGTGGAGCGGGCGGTGACATCTCCGAGGGGATGTCTATCAGATCGAAACTATCGTCCGGCTGTTCTCCGTCCGTGGTGGTCACCTGCGGTCACAGTTTTTTTTTCTCTCTCGAGCAAAGCCGACGCGCGCGCGTGTGCGTGGTCGAGGCGCGCGTTCGAGGCCGCTCGGTTATCCTAGCGCGATCTTACCATCGTGAGCATGGTGTTGGCGCTGTCGGTGCTGGTGTTGATCGTGGTCTCGGACGCGGTGCTCGATCCCATGACAACGACCTTCGGCACGCTGCAGCTACTGCGGCTGCCGCCGGTAGACTTGAAGTGCAGTCTTCGCAGCGCGGATGTCGCGTGAGACAACAAATCGGTATCGCGGATATTCTCGGTCCCATTGTGCCGATGCGAAGAGCCGCCTGCACGCGACGCCTGTGACTGCGACTGCGACTGCGACTCGGATCCCTCCGTTTCCGCCGACGCCGCCGCCGCCGTCGCCGCCGCCGCCGCCGCCGCCGCCGCTGCTGCCGCTGCCGTTGTCACCGACGCCGACGCCGACGCCGACGCCGACGCCGAATCGGTCCCGTTGCTGCGCGAACCGCCGCCGTTCCTGTTCCCGTTCCTGTTGTTTCGTCCATTCGCCCCGCGGCCGTCCAAACAGCCCTGCTTCGGGGGGAACCAAGAGTACACACATGCAGAAGAAACATCGCCGCGCGTCGAAAGATCGACTCTCCCTCGCGCGTCCGATTGATTCTAGCTCTCTCTCTCTCTCTCTCTCTCTCTCTCTCGCATACTCACGTGGTTCTTGTGTTCCGGGGTGGAGGACGAGTTCTGTGCGTTTGGCAGAGAACCCCCCGTGGGGGTGCAATGCCGCAATCGCGCCAGGGCCGTACGAAGCCCCTCCGTCACGAGGCTCTTTTAGTCCAACTCGTTCGTGGCTCCTCGCGCCTCGTCCGACCTCCTCGGGCTCCTCAAGTTTTCTCTCCGAGTTCCCCTAACGAGTTTTCTTCTCCGATACGTCCGGCCGATCGCCCTTATCCCGGTCCCCTTTGACCGATTCGCGCTTCCCTCGACCCTCCGGCGCTCTCTTCCTCCTCCTCCTCCTCCTCTTCTTCCTCCTTCTGGAGGATATCTTGCCCCGTTCCACCCGTTCCACCGACAAATTTCGACGACGACGACGACGACGAACGAACGTGCCCTCCCTACGTCCTTTGACTTCCAAGTGTCGCGACCCCGACGGTGACTGACATTTGGAACCCCAGTCGTACGTACGGTCTTCTAGCCGAGTTGCGCGTTAATCGCTGTGCGTAGTTCACTGATCCGTCCTGTCTCGAACTTTGACCCTCGCGTACTCTTCATCCCGTTTCTGTCCGACTCCTTCGTCCCACTCTCTCCTCTCTCTATATATATATATCTATCTATCTATCTATCTATATTTCTCTCCCTCTCTCGCGCAAAAGGTTTCCGCGTTCGAAACGGACGCGAGACCTCGCAGACGCTCGATCGTCGAAGCTGCGTCTACAATTGCGAGAAACATGGTCGCGGGATTAGAATCAGTTACGAGTCGAATCGAATCTAATCGACTCGATATATCTCGGTCAACGAATCGATCGACCGGGACATACCCGGGGCATCCGCGGGAAACCGGAATGCGATATTCGCGGGAGCGTGAAAATTCTGCGGAGCCCCCTCCCCCCTCTCCTCCCCCCGCCGATCATTGATCAAACGGGAAGCGGGGCTCTCCCGATCGAATTGCCTAGAAATATCCTTCCTGTTTGCCGATACGAGCACGTCGTATATCGTATATCGTATATCGGCCGGCGCGATCGATAATTTCACGCTGGTTGCTAAACGATCAAACGACCGTGTCGAAACGGAATCTAGGTAGAAAGGTCGCGCTCTCGGCCGAAACGCCCGGTGTCCGGGTCACCGACGATACCGGCGCGAGATCCCGACGACGACGACGACGACGATTTTTTTCGTTCGTCGTATCGGCCTGGTAACGACGGCGCTCTCTCCGATTAGCGATCGAACGTCGTCGAAGCCGCTCGGAAAATTTCGCGACCGTTCCATTTGTTTTGTTATCTACTAAAAACAAAATACATGTTCCATCGGATCGGACGATTCGCACCGCGCGACTAATATATGATATATATATATGTAGACTAGATTATATATATATATTATATTATTATATATATTATTATATTAGATTATATATATATAAGTAGTAAGATAGTCGGTGCGAATCGTCCGATCCGATGGAACATATATATATATATATATTACACGGAGAGCGTTTATCAGCTATCGGATACCTCTCTCTCGAAGACGTCAACAATGCGGCCGTAGGAGCACCGCAGGGTATAAAAGGCGACGCGCGGCGCGGTACCATTGTTCTCTCGGGTGGCCGAGAAGTAATTGCCGAGCGGAAAAGCAGGGATCGAATCGACGTCGAGCGAACGCTAATTGGAGACACTCGTCGAAACGAATACATACCCAAGGGGGAAGGGGCGGGGGGGAACGGAGAAATTGTACGGTCCGCGATCGCCGTTCCGTAGGAGGAGCCGAGGAACAAACAATTTAACCCCGGGTTGGAGAGGACGCCCCCGATCACGTTGCTCCTTTCCACACGGTGCGGAACGATGTCTGTTTGTTTTGCCCGTGGGTGGACGACTCGGGGCGGGTAAAATTGTTTGGGGTCGCGATTAAGCGTGTTGCGTAAAGCGAATGGTGACCTCTCCGGGTAGCGTGAGACACGAGCGAAAGAGATACGGTCCCGCGGAGCTGCACGGTGCATTAATGGGAACGGTCACGAAGAAGGAAAAGAAGAAAAAATACCGTTTCGCGCGGCGTGGAAGCGAACAGGTTAACTCGATTAGCGGCGGGGGGGTCTAAACTTTCGAGCGTGTATGTACATCGGCTGGCACACACGGGGCGATTTGTGCAGAGCGCGAGAGGTGTGCGGTGTGGCGAGTCACGATGACATTCGAGGAGAGTGCAACATGCGTCGAGATCTCTAGAGCTCTGGTGAATTAGCGACGGGTTATTTATATATGGTTGCTCGGTGTCGCGGCCGGGCGTGAGAATTGCGATGTATGAAAACAAAGGTTTGATCCAGATACCTTGCGTCCTCTCGAGAAAAAGAGCACCGTTTACCTTCGCATTCCACGGATAACTGGCGTGGAACACGACCACCGAGAAAGGACATTAGCGCCTGCGCTTCTCCGTCGGAGTGGGGCGGGGGAGGCGGAAACCAACAGCAGCAGCAGCAGCAGCAGCAGCACCGTCGTTGCCGACCCGTATCCCCTCCACTCCGCCGTTTCTCTCTTCCTCCGCCCTGCGCGCGCCTCTCTCTCGCGCGCGATCCCTCGTCTTTCTATTTTCTCCGTTCTCCAGCCGTTCGAGAGGACACTATGCTGCTCGTGCTTTCCTTCTTCGGCCCGCATTTCCTTGCCCGATGCTCGAACGGCGAGAAGCCTGACAACGCGGCGACACGGAACTCTGCGCGCGCGATAGAGAGAGAGAGAGGAGGAATCGCGAAACGTCAACAACGATTACGAGAATGTAGCAGCGCCGCTAATCGTTCCCCGCCTCGAGCGAGACGGAGAGAGAACCGAAGCGCGGAACGCAGCCGCTTTCGGCAGTCCTCGTTGCCCGTTGCCGATGCATGTAATTCGCGTCGCAAAAGATTGTCCGATCGAACGGACACCGGGCAGGCGGTCCCCCGCGAATCGATCGATTCGTATCGAGCCCGCGCGGTCGGTCGGCGCCGACGATGCGGGGAAACGGTTTCCGACAGTTTCGAATTTTCGTGCGCCGGACGTAGACCGTAGCGGCATCGAAATGTTGCAGCATGAAACGCAACGGTAGATGCGTACACGTATATACGTATATACGTATGGAACGGCGAAGAGACGCGAGATAACGAGATAGCTGATAAAAAAAAATCGAGGAACGAAAGGTGGAGAATTTTTGAGCATAAAGTTTGCGCGTATCGGTGGCAAATTATTGAACCTTGCGAATCTATACAACACCTGCGCAGATGCGCAACCCTTTCCTAGATGCTATTACCGTTCACCCCGTTCATTTGTGTCCTACATTTCATCCTTCCTCCGTTCTACTTCTTTTTAGTCTCGCATCGTTCGTTTCGCCGACATCGAACCTGTGTCTACGTACCTCGGGGGGGGGGGGGCGTGTACCAATAATTCGATAGTCTCCCTCGAAATTGGCTCGCTCCCCTGACACACTTTGCAACCGGCTGGAATTTCCCGAGCGGAACCAATTAATCGTCGTTTAACCTTCCTTCCTTGCTTCCTTTACTTTACTTCTTTCTTTCTTTCTTTCGGTGGGGGAAAAAAGGGAAAGGGTAGTAGGGTAGCGACGCGTGCACGGAACAGCGTGCCGTGACACGGTGTTCGCGTCGCGCTCTCGTGCATACCTAAACACCGTTTAACGGCGGTTTCGATGCACGCCCCCGAGTCGACCGCTGTGGCATACCAGTTGATCGACCGCTTTGTCAAAACAGCAGTCCTATCGATCCACGGTATCCACGTGGCTTCCCTTGTACATTTCAGCGTCGCGCGTCGCGTACGCGATCAAATTTCTCTGCATGCGCGAGACGGCACCGTTTCGACACGCTCCGTTGTTTGTGTCAAGCTGCTCCCGGTACAGTAATGTCTCTCTAATTGACCACAGAAATGGACAATTTGGGAAGGGGAGATACGATTATTCGAGCGGTTTATTTTTATAGTTACAAATTGTCCACTTCCCAAGTTGTCAATTTTTGTTTCCAAGCTCAGAATTCCAAGCTGAGGATTTCAAGCTCAGAATTCCAAGCTCAGAATTCCAAGTTCAGGATTCCAAGCTCAGAATTCCAAGCTGAGGATTTCAAGCTCAGAATTCCAAGCTGAGAATTCCAAACTCAAGATTCCAAGCTCAGAATTCCAAGTTCAGGATTCCAAGCTCAGAATTCCAAGCTGAGGATTCCAAGCTCAGAATTCCAAGCGGAGATCTCTTCCCAAATTATTCAATTTAGTGGACAATCTGAGCATCGGTAAGGGAGACATTACTGTAGTTCTTTGCAATTGCTGCTTCTCAAGAGGACAAATATTTAGAGATGCTAGATTTGTCATTGTCAAATGTAAGGATTTAGCTTAGTTTCGATACCGACCTCTACCCTTCGTACATCTCCATGGCCTTATCGATGCAGACCCACAACGAAGCCCACTTTTCCTTGTCTCCTCGTTTCTATCTCATTCCTAGATTCGCCGAATATGTACAACTGCGAGAAAACCGAGTACAGTAATGTCTCTCTAATTGACGCCCAGATTGACCACAAAAATGGACAATTTGGGAAGGGGAGATACGATTATTCGAGCCTTATGCGGTTTATTTTTATAGCTATAAATTGTCCACAATTATAAAAACGAGCCGCAAGGCTCGAATAATCGTATCTCCTCTTCTCAAATTCTCCCAATTGTCCAATTGCAGATTAATCGAACGGAGCACGATCGACGGCAACTTTGAAATATTGGAAACCGCGGCGACTACGAATCTGCTCCTCTCTCTACTTGGAACGTAACCCAAGCGAAATTCGGAAGCAAACCTTTTAGCAGTTGCGAGTAGTCTCCGCAGTTCCCGTAGTTGCAAGTAGCGGTGGGAGGGTGGTGAGGGATTTCCCGTGGACATCTATCTCTGCAACCATGTTTTCTGTACATGAATGTGTATTTTGTCATATTCAAAATATAATAATAAACGTTACACACAGTGTAGCTTTTACTTATGGGTCACAACATTTGATCCATGGTTCTGGTGAATCGCTAAACACCGACGCCGCTCTAGACTCTCTTCACCGAGCTTGTTCGGTTGATCGAGTAAAAAGGCCCTGACGGTTCACGGTTTCTCGAAGTGCCATCGCGGTGAACCGGTAGCGCGACGCGTCGATCGCTTATCATTTTTTATTTATTTCTTTTCTTTCTCGTCCGTGGGGAGAAGCAATTCTTTTTTTTTTCTTGACGAACCGTACGAGAAATAATCTTTTCGACGCAGCCTCGGCAGGTATATCATCTTGCTCGCCGGAGCTCGCAGACTTTCGTCGATCTGTCGATTAGGAACGATGAGAAACGGTCGGTCGGGACTCTGCACGATATCACTTCGAAACGAGGCTCGCGGCCGTGTCCCGATAATAAAAAAAAAACAAACACGCAGAGCTTCTCCCTCGTGGATTTCGCGCATCGATCGATCGATCGATCGGCGGCGATCGATGCGCGTGTTTTTCGTTGCGTACTGCGCGACCCTCGAGGCCAGCAACGCAGGGTGTATATTCTTAAACGCTACTATTTTTATTCCGAATCGTAGGACATCTTTGTCTCACCGAGAGACCATCTTTGTCGTTATCGTCGCCAGTCGTCGTTATGATCGTCGTTGTTGCGTTAACATCACAATAGTTAAAGAAACAATAGAGCATCGCGAGCGCGCACGATTGTGCGCAGTTTTCTCTCTCTCTCTTTTTTTCGTTTCTTTTCTCTCTCTCGCTCTCTCTCTTTTGATCACACGATTTTTCTTTACGCACGCACTCCCAGGATCGGCAAAACACGCACTCATTATACAAAATGTACAAAAGCGCAAACACGCGTACACGTATAGTTATACATTCGTAAAAAAATTGTTCGTGGTCAGTTATACGAATTCACGGTCGCGCTACTCGCATCCGTCCCCGTGTCTCTACGCGTCTCTCACGTTCTCGTCCGTGCGTGTCGGCGTTTCGCGAAAATCCACCGAACGAATCGGTTATCCATCGCGTCGAGACATTTTTATCCGACGATCTTCCCCCCGTTGTTGTTTTGGAAATACGCGAGTTTCGACGCGGGGCTGCTGCACCCCTCGCCGAGCCGCGCGTCTATAATTAGCGGCACGCGACCGCCACCCCGTCCGCGAGACGTTCGTTATTACTTGTCGCATGCGGAGGATCCGTCGCCAGGAACATCTAATAAAAAATGACAACGCGCGCAATATATCTTATCCTTAAGATTAGTTCGCGTGAAACGCGGGCAGTCGTGTTTCGTTGGCAAATGAAACAAGATGAAGATGTAGAAGAAGCGTTCCGATCGCGAGAATCGCGTGTTACAAAGTACCTTTTAACTGGCACGCAAAGACGCGGAGACGCATAGAAACCTGCTCTCGTTTTTCTTTCTTCTTTTTTCCTTTTTTTTCTTTTTTTTCTTTAAACTATTCATCGACTGAAAAATTCCTAGTGGACGCGGCGCACGGTAGTCTTATCAAAATGTATCCGAACATGTATCGGGAACAAAGTGTAGTGTATAAAACAGGCAGGGGAGGGAGAGCGTGTTACAGTGGGGAGGAAAGAATGATCGGCCGAGTGCGGCGAGGGGGTGGGTGGGTGGTTGTTCTCCTCGGGGGTGGAGAAGCAAAGTCTGAGAATGTCTGAACGAACGGGAAATTGAACCAGGAACGATGGCGTTTATGCGTATAAAAATAAAAATTTATCTCCGTCCTTAAAAAGTTCCATTATCCTATGAACATTAGACCGACGCGCGTCAGCTTATTCGCGTGCTCCCCTCTCTCGACGAATTTCGTCGCTACAAAACTAAAGTTTGCTGCGAGCGCGACGAGGGTGTGTTTTTTACTGGACACACGCCACGTTTCTCCACAGGATCGCGAAACACGATTCGCCAGGCCGGACGCCTTGCAAACAAAGAAACAGGCAAGTGCGATTCGAGGATAGTTTCTCTGCCGTTGAACGTTTCAAACGAATCGCATCGCTGTCCGTCAACGACTCGATGTACTCGGTGTCTCTGGGCTAGAATTGGTCTAGTTTCTCATCCACGCGCGCAAAGGCCATCCACGCGATAATCTTATTTTTTATTATTACGCCGAGCGTAATCTTCATTTTTTTTCCCCCCATTTTCCGTCGGTCCGTTCGAACGATTGCGCGTGAAATCTGGTGGCGCGCGCTTCGATGACGATCCGTCGCGATTTGTGGAAAATCTTATACTCTTTAAAAACAGTCTTTATACAGTGCTTAAATTATTATGTACAACGTGTAGTCGATTAAAAAGTAAAAAGAAGGATTTCTCTTATTGTAATTGTTACGCGTTAGTCGAATCGAACACCTCTTAGTCGTAGAATCTTGCCCGCGATCGATCAAGCTGGTCTTGACTCGTTGCGCCCTGTTTGTGTCTATAGAAGCCGCGGGTGCTCGGTGGTATGCTGATTCTCACACGTTCTCTCTCTCTCTCTCTCTCTCTCTTTCTTTCTCTTTAGAAACTCGCAAGTTATCTCTCACGAAAAATTAGTGCCTCGTTGCTCGCATTTTCCGCTCTTACATTTAACGTCTGCGGTTCCTCTGGGCGCGACAGAGAACGCTCTGTTCTCGACACGCTTTCGAAAACGATACAAATATAGAAAACTTATAAATGCACGGGCTATACATATAAACGTCGTTCAAAAAATTCTCTGTCGAAACGGACGGTCCTCGCGTGTAAAATCTAAGTACGTCCTTAAAGTATGCTGCGGCAGGACCGTGACGAAATAATACGTCCGATCAATCGAAGAAAGACTAATAACGGTTTCACACGGTCCCGCGTGAAGGAGTCTCCGAACAAGCGAATAGAAAAGCCGAGGGGCTAGGCCAGCGCGGAACGGAAGCGAAGCAAAGATGGATGGAAATAAACGATAATTACCTATGAGCTGCCGTTGAAACCAGTTGTAAATAAAAGGAAGAAGGAAAATATGAGAAACGATGGAACGCGTGCTCCTCCGCCAACCGCGCAATCGAACGTCGCGGCTCTGTTCAACGAATCGCGTCGCTCGACTCGATCCGTTCGCCCGATCTCGGTCTCGACCTCTTCGAAAAGAGGAACACGAAAGCTCGAAGAGGTTTGCCGGCCTTTTTCTTTGCTCGTTTCGCGCAACAGTTCGGAGGAACGGAACCACCTCGAGCATCGCTTTTGTCTCACTTGGAACACGCATATCATCTCAACAAATACCTGTAGGCCGCGCAATTCCCAGCAATTATAATAAATAAGACTTTCGATAGAGGAAGGAACGGCGCTAAACTGGAAGCTGCCTTCGTTGCGTCCTCGCAAACGCCTGCAACAAAGGAAACGGGCGACGATATAATAAGTCGATAGGATAAAACAATGATTTGAAAATGCAGACCATGCGACTTCATCGTCGACGCACCTTGATTCATGAGGGAGTAGGTCCACGCGTCGTCCGCTGGTTCCCTGTGGCAAACGCGGTCCAATCTTGTAACCCAGAATTCTTGATCGGGCAGTTTAGCTTTATTACTTGTCCCCGTCGATTTTCCCGCGTTGCCTTTCAATCGCATGGACAAACAGTACGTCTGCCCGAATCCGGGAGAGGTCTGGCTGGTTTTCCGTGACACTATCGTGTACCAGGCATCCTTCTCTTCCCAGCTTCCATGGCAATAGTACGCTGCAAGAATCGACGAAATTATAAACGCTTCTTCTTTTACACAAATCGGCGAATCGTATTCGAGCAAAACTTACTCGTTTCTTCGCTTCCACACGATTTTCTGGTAACGATCTCGCTCTGATCCGACGAGGTGCATCCTATCTCGACATCGGTGGTGCTGCACTCGTCTCCGTATTCTTCCTGCTGTTGTTGTTGTTCCCCTCCGTGCTGATGATGATGATGGTGATGATGGTGTGCCTGCTGTTGCTGATGCTGCCGTTGCAGTTGATCGTGCGTCTTCACCTGTTGCAGGTCCTCGTTCCATGTTCTTCTTTTGACGATTCTGGACGTACGTTTCTCGCTGCGACGCTGTCGGCGGGTCGACGTGCCGGCCAAATGGAACGGAGCGAATCCTAGCATGGTGTATCTCCCATGGTTCGGACACTTCCTCTGGCGCAGGGACGAGCCTGCGTCAACGAGCGATCGGTTACCTTTGCTACCGTTAAAGTTTTCCACGATGTTGAACTACTGTATTACTCACTGATGAGCGTGGTGTACGGCATGGTGGATGTATTCGAGAGTGAGCACGCCTCGTCCGGCATTATGGCCTTTTGATCTGCAAGAGATTTGTCGATCGGTAACGAATCACAGTTACGCAAAGTCGCACAGACGCTCGAAAAGTACTCACCCGACTGTTGTAACTCTATAATGTGTTGATCCCGTTTGTGGAATATCATGCAAACGTAACCGATATCGCTGCAACCATAATCCAGTCATTAGGTTCTGGTCGAAAGACGCTGGTACACGATATAACCGCGCGTTTACTTACCAGCCGCTGGTTACGTGAGCAATTAATTGTACTTTGTGCCCTTGCGCGCTGTCGCCGGAGTGGAATTTCTCTAGATTTTGGCAGACGATCTTCTCGTCGTGGGACGTGTCCCCCTCCGTGTTTTGTACTCGCACCTTCAGAGTCGCGTTCTTGTTCGTGAAGTGATAGAACTTGGTGCCATCCAACGAATGCCAGTCGTGATGCTCGGTGATCCACGAGGGGTATTTACATTTATTGTGCTCCTTGTCGACTGTGGGAACAACGAACGAAAAGGATGAAGATGGAAAATGCCTATAACACGACACGCGAAACGAGGCAAGCTTCCTACTTTTTGTCAGTTTGATCGTAGGCGATCCCTCGGAAACGGTGGTTAGGCCGTTGCAGGTAGGCTCGCCGGATTGAGCCAGTAGATAGATCACCTTCCCCTGATGATGCGTTTTCTCCTCGTACAAGAAGCATCTACGCGAACCATGAATAGATTAAAAACTGAGGAACCGTAACACTCGAGTGCCAATCACGTACGTTTGAACGCGAAAGATACCTGTAGGTTTTCTCAGCCCCGGACACGCTTCTTCCCTTCAAAGTTCCAACTAGGTACTTGTTGCGGCCATCGTTCCACACCGCCAGGCATTGCAATTCTTCCGCTGAAACGTGAAATAAGTTACAACGACATGCTCATCGAAGCAAATTCTGATCAAAATTCGCAGATACCGACTGTTGCTTTCGCTCCTGGTAATGTCCGGGCAAGCTTGGTACTTGAGGAGCAATTTACTCTCGTCGGTGCACTTCTCCCCAAGGCTGACAGGGGACAAGCACTCGCCGTAGCCCTTATCGTACGAGAACGTGAACGACGACCCGCTGAAGGGGCACGGTATCGGCTTGGAATTCACACGGAACATCGAGAAAAGCGTATCGTCCGATTTGATGGTCGAGCACATATCTTCCAATGGTATTTGCGCCGGGTGGCAGTATCCTACGGCAGGGAAACGATCGATTAGTCGTAGATCTCAAACGAGACTTCTCTATGAAGACATCCGAATCGTTTCTTACCCTCGCGAAACTGTATCACATTCTCGTGTCTGTCGTTGACGATTAGGCAGTGGTAGCAATTGTCCCCGCTAGAATCAAGAATCATTAATGCATCCTCTTGTTTTACGCCGAAGTTCCTTGCGTTTGCGTAAGCGCTACTTACTAAATGATGTATGAATCAGCAGATCGTTCCACGCACGTTTTTTCACCCAGAGAAGTGGCGTTCACGGTAACCGATACCACTTTGCTGTGCTCGTACCATTCGCCGGCCCAACTCGCCGGAAACTCGCAGGAACCTACCACAATATCATTCGTTGTATCATTTTACTGTACTTGTTATATTAAACACTAACGCTCTAAGTCTACTTAGTCAAAATTATGCTACATGCGAGGTGTGCGGCGCATGTCCATTTTTTTAACCCTTAGGGGACCAAAACTATTTAGTTCCAGTTTACACACTGCCAAGTTCGGACTGTTTTTCAGACGAAGAGAAATTTTTTACTGAAAATTTTTCTATCAAATATAGAGAAAAGGTATTTATTTTTTATTATTTATTTTTTATATTAATTATATTATTTATTTTTTTCGATAGGTATGCACATGTTCATTTGAGACATATATTTTTGAAAAATGTTACTCACAAATTGCCATCACGCTGGCAAGTTATACAATATATATGTATTGCATACATATATATATATTATTATTATTATTATATTTAGTAATATTTATTGTACAATATATATATATAAATATTACTAAATTTATGAAAAATCTATTATTTCCTTTCATTTCTTAAACGGACAGAACTTTCCGGTAGACCTAATATTTTCATCGAAACAATCGTGCCTATTCTTCCAATATTTCCTGATTGCCAGAGTTTACGGTTTTATTGATTTCTGCCGCGTGTATGGTGGCATTGGTCCGTTAAGGATTAATTTGTAATAAAGAATCAATTTTAAAAATTGACTATACTGTCAAATTAAAAACAATGCATTAGATTGTAGGATGTCCTTAGTCTGGAGATATTATATATATATTATACATTTTATATATGTATATTTATAGTATAGTATATATAGTATATATTATTATAGTATATATGTATAGTATATATTATTATATATTATATATATTTATAGATATATATATTAATGGCGGGACGTCTAAATAAACAGTCTCTGTTATCCTTGTAAATCAGCATACCTCACAATTTGTTATTTTTAGATTAGTAGCTTCAGCGTTAATGCATTCTCGATATCGTTGAAACAATTTAAAAAAAGGCGATGACGAAATCAATTTGTATCTCATATATCGAACCGATTTGAAATCGTCCGACAGCCGCTACCTTGACGTAACCGTTTTCTATTGGACGGTAGAGAACAGGAGAGGAGGGGATGGCGGCGGTGCCACCGGTGGTTCTACATTGTCTACTCACCTTTCACGGAAGGTACGTCGGTCAACGATAGAATTAAAAGAATCAGCATCGTCACGGGGCCAAGATTCCCTTCTCGATGCGAAAAGGAAGGGTCCAGCATCCTGAAATAAAAAAAAAAAACCGAACTAAAATATTATCGGTTTACCGCTCGCATGAAATTTTGATGACTTCGCACACAATTGAAACGTCGGAAACGTTAAAAGTGAACGCTTTACTGTCGTCACAGTTGATCAGATTTATTTGTCGATATTTAAAAACGTTGAATCGCACGTACATGGTTCCGAAGGAAACGGTTACCCTCGATCGCTCGGATCACGTTCCGTCAGGTCGTTACCAATGAAACGATCGGCGAAGCGACAACGAAACACTGCAACACGATCTCGCGCCTTATCGGTTATTGGCACCGCCGGATATCGATGTCACTTCTGTCGTCGACGTTATCATCGTTATCGCGGATTTACTTGTCGGCAAACGTATCGGCACGCGTGTGTCATTCGGTGTCGTTTCAAGAGTCCGCGGCGTATCGGAATCGCCGAAAGCAAAAAAAGATATAGGCTCGTTTGCGGTCGCTCGCGCGGCGTGACGTTCGAGACCGTGCACTACTGCGCGACAACCAGAAAATGCAACTACGTGCGAAAGCTGCGAGAGGGATGCATTATTCAACAAGGTACACGTGTTTCTTTCCGTTTCGTTCCACTCGTGCTCCCTTTACCGCAAGTCTCCTACACATCTACTACCCTTTCGTGCGACCGATGCGCGAACACTTGTATCCACTTCTGCGCATCCACTTTTCAAGGGATTACAACGCTGTCAAAGTAAAAAAAAAAAGAAAAAAAGCTCGCCTATTTTTCTGTACATAGAAATAAAAAGGTGAGCGAATTTCAATCGAAAAAATTTTCAATCGGTAAAACGATATAAATTCCCGGGGCCCGTGCAGGGGTTCTCTGTACAATTTTTTCAAAGTCGTCGACAATGACATAACACGGTCGTTGAAAATCCTATTAGTAGGATCGTTCGATATAACGATACTTTAAGGTACGCTAACCTTTCAAACCTCAACCCTTCGTTGTTCCGATATCCATTTCCATTATTGTTCTTTATTATCCACGATGATCGCAATTTAATATTCCGACCGAACTAACCTTTGTGTGTTTGTGATCTGTAACGCTGCGACGAGGAAGGGGTGCAGAGATTCCGATGGACGAGGTATCACATAATGTTCTCAAGTAAAAGCACGCGCGAGTCGATCAGCACAAAAAGCTACGCGTGATTCGAGGCCGTTGTGATCACAGTATTAGAAAATATCTCGTTGGGTACCCATTCTTAGAGAAGAAGCGGCCGTTCTTCAACGAAGCATCGCACACGTTCGCGCACCGCACGGTATTGTTCATCACCGCTGAAACTTTCTTCGGTACTGTGACTGTAATCCGGTCAAGGGAACGACCAAATCGCGTCCGATCTCTTCGGCGAAGCTGCATCGGTAGCGTCGTAGCACACGGAACAGCAACGATCCACGTTTTCTGTCGTCGCGAACGCCGTGACCATCGCTGCCCGAAACGGCCACATTAGTCGAAGGGGGGAGGGGGGGAAGAACTATCGAATCTCGGTGTGTCTTTCGTTAACCGCAGTTCACAATTCCCGCAACCCTCGGCCGCCGATTTGCCCTTCGGACGATCGGGACAATAAGCCGCACTCGAACGTGCGGAATGCAGACGCTTTTCATAGCTCGTCCCGCGAACCGGTTCTCAATTTTCAGGTATCTTTCGAACGCGACGACCCCGTCCGACCGTGTATCGTTGTCCGTCTTCTGCGTTCCCTCGTTCTTCGCCGCTGCTAGACCCGTTTTCACGCTCGTGTATACTCGATCGCTCGCCCATGCAAACAATGGCGGCGACAACGACCGACGTACGGCGACCGATACGCCACTCGACCGTAACATGTACTTCTACGATAACGTGACACACTGCGGACGCACACCTCCATTCATCGATCCTGAGACTGTGTTCGTATTATATAAGGTAGATCGGGCACGTTAACGATCAGAATTCCGCTACCTTTTTCCGTTAACACTACTTCTACGTTCTCCCCTATTTTTTGGTCTTCGTATTTTTGCACTTCGGCCCTATACGATATACGTCTAACAAAGTCTCTGCCTCTCCATTGCCCTTTCGATTCTATTTCGTTTCGCTGTCTCTCGGAATTTCGTTTCCAGTAACTCACATTTTCGTGCGTTCTACATATTCTGTTTTTAGAATCGTTTCTTCGCTTACGCGTACGTGTTTCCGACAAAGCTGTCGGTGCAGCGACAGCGAAAGTGATTTTTAGGGAATTTCACGAAGAACTGAGAAAACGGTGCTAGGGATTTATTGCAGATCCCGCTTCGACCGCTCGAGACAATGTCACTAGGTACTCTGTTATTCGATTCTAGGGTTATTTCTATTTGTACAGCGTTTTATTATGATGTTATTGTTGAAAAATCGAGCTACCTTTCTTGTAACGAAATCTCATGAATCCGTGGGTTTTTTTAACCCCTTAACGTGCACGCTCGAGTTAACTCGAGCGCGCTAAACTGGCCGAACTGTGCACACTCGAGATAATTCGAGCGGCGTTGTAATCGAGCGAATGTAATCGAGAATTGAAAATAACAATGTGAAAGCAAAAAAAAAACAATCGTTTTATTGATATTTATCATTTACATAGGATTGTAAGCTAATAACACTTACTTATTCAAGTATAAAATATATTCTTTTTCTACTTATCACTTACGACTTATCTCTTCCTTGTGAGCCGCTTTCCGACAGCGTATTCATATTCAGATTCTGATTCCCTCATTTTTCAATATATATTTTACTAAAATATAATGTAAACTAAAATATAAATAATAATATGTATATAAATATAATAATAAATATTATAAATACTAGTATTGTCATTATTTATGTTTTAAAAGTATAAATAAATATTTTTACTGATAATAATGTTTATTCTGAAATGGGAATTCGAAAAGAAAGATAAAAAAAAGTCGATGTGTGTGTGTGTGTGCGTGTAATATTACAATATTTGACTATTTTCAGCAATGTTATCAAAATCCAAAATAGCAATAAAAATTTTGATTATTCTTGTATTTTTGTAATTTTCTTGCCAAGACAACGTTCTAAATTGTGTTTTTTTACATTAAAAAAAATTGATCTTTTTTGGCCGACCTTTTTCAAAAATACTGTGCATTAAGTTCGCACAATTTTATCACGTAGTGTTCTGAAATACCGACATCGCTAAAAATTACCCATACGGTGATCGATCTTTACTCGTGCGTCTACTTTCCTCGTCTATGGTTGATGCAACTGTAAGACAATACAGTGAATCAGTTTGAATTTTAACCTAAAATGTAAGTAAATAGTGATACGTTCTTTTTATTTTCTTCAACATTAATCGTTATTAGTGCCTGTGAAAGTTGGTAAGTAATAAGAAGTTGTGAAACGAACAATCAAGGAGTTGGACAAAAATTAGAAATATTCATAAATTTTATAATATACGTCAGAAATTTTTGTCCGGTGTAACGCAGGATTTCTGTGAATACACTTTCGAAGTTAGATTGCAAAGAATATAAACAGTTTTTCAAGAAATATCATAAATAAAAACTAAACTTCCTTTAAAGGAAATTTGTGCAGTTTAAGCTACACAAAATGCAAAAGGTTAAAGTTTCATTTTTTATGAAACAATCGATACCTATTTAGATAATATGTTGCACAGTATGTATTATTAGTTTTAATGTATCGTGCAGATAATAAGTTCACTAGAATTACAACTCGCGTATTTGTTAATAGTTGAATAATTATTAATAAATTAATATTTTCATAAATTATTTAGATAAAGTGGTGAGCAAACTTTGCATTAGATGTAAA